ATCCTGTCTGACGTAGGAACCTTAGGTGGCTTTGTGGTTTGACAACTCGGATTGGAACACAAGAAGACACCACACCCTCCAGGAACTTGAGTTTGGAGTTCACGACTCCTGATCAAGAAGCCTCGAGACTAAATGTGTTAAGGGAATGTGAGTGCTCAGTAAATACCCCCCTAATCATTCTGAACTCCGTACTAACATGACTGCAAAGTGTGATTTTGGTACTTTGAAGTCAAGTTGTCCTTGGCTTTTTTTTTGTGTGCAAAAGTACCGTCTTGGTGGAAACACTTATGCTGAAAAGTAAAGAAGGTTTTGGCTGTGGGTTTTGTGATGCCTTCCACTCTAACGTCTTCAATCCCAGCGTGCATTTGTTGGGTGCACCCAAGGACATTGCTGAAACCAGAGGAAATCCTCAAACTTCTAGTGAAACCAGGTCTGCTGACCTAAGAGTTAGTTTTGCAGACCGTGGTTAGAAAAAGATTGTATGCCGTCTAAAAATAGGCAGCTCAAGATCGGTGATCATAAAAGCCGGTGCAACATTTCAGATGCTTCCTCAGTGCATCCGTCTTGAAGAGCTGTGATCATCTCCCATTGACCAGTTCTTTTTAAAACGTAGTACTCGGTGATGAACTGCAATGGCATACTTTGACAGATATTCAAGGCAAGGAGAGTGAATTGCACCCTTTGTGTGTGGTCACTGTAAATGAGAATGCACAGTAGGAGTGGACCAAGAGGAGGAGCCCAAGATGCCAGTGCTGCTGGCTGGGTTCTCGGAAGCCAGTGGAACCAAGGGTCTCGTCTGTGTTGCATGACTGCAGTGTCGGCTTCAACAGCACGGCTGAGCAGCTTCTTCCAGACTCCTGTCACCACTGAGATTCCACTTGTGTTCCCTGGTTCACATTTCCCAATTGGTTCTGAAGAAATCTCTGGTGGCTTTGGCCTTGCCCGTGCGTTTGAGGACTTTGAGCATGTGTGTCAAGTCAGCTGGCGTTCTGTGTTCAAGCGCAGAGAGATGGTGTGGTACACTCTTTTCCAGTTGGAGAGCTGGACAGAATAGTAGAATAGTAGAACAGTCTGTCCTTTACCTCCTCGTCTGTCAGGTGATAACTTGGTGTTTGCAGGTCTGCTGGGAAAGCGTTGAAGAACAGATAGCACTGACGAGCCCTTTCACTGAACTGTGTGGCAGATCGTTTGTTTGGAAGACCTGCGCCAGAATTTTGGAATTATCTGGCCTGGAGAAAGCCATAGTCCAACCAGGCAGCAGGTTTAGAAGAGCCTATGGTGGCCACTATAAACAGAGATGAATGTTTATAATAGTGTTTGTGTATGGGGGTTTTTAAAGGGCCTAACCTGCATCTGTCAAACACAAAATGAGCTGAGTTGGAGGTAAGAGGTGAGCTGAAACCCACATCCTGTTTCTAGTTTAGAAGCAAAGCGCTGCAGTTCATGTTAAAATTGAGCTGTTTGCCCATTTGGTTATTTTACATGAGCACCTTGGTTTCTTAGAGTGCGATTTAGACTTCACTAAACTTTTACTTTTGTCTTCCTCTTATTTTTGGAAGAACAGATGGTGCAGGTTTCTTCTCTCATCTCGGGGTAGAATGGTGCCCCATGGGAAAATTCTGTGGTCTACAGTAAACTCCAACTTTGAACTTGATTGCCTTGCCCTTGCAATCCTAAAAATGTAGTTTAGACGTGAGAAGCCTAAACTGGTGAGACATCCCCTTTGCATCTGTTTCCAGTCCTTGAAGGCTGACCGTACAGA